TCCATTTTTCCTTCTAAATATTATTAAATTTGCCCATTCCACTCTTTCCTTAACACCATAATTTTGGACCAAGTGATCATTTCTCATCTGGGCAATAATGGTCTCCTAATCAATCTGTTATTCATTCTCAAAGCCTTTCATTACATATCTTCATTTTAGCCAAAATGGCCATTGCAAAATACAAACCTGAATGTCTTACCCCAACATACTCCTCTCTATTACTTAAAAATTGTGTGGCTATCAATTTCTTTGAAAGATCCTGGCCTATTTCTCCACCATATTTATTATCATACACCCTTTTTCTTCACATCCTATTTGTACAGGCCTTCTAGCTCTTATTCAAAAGCTCTGTACTCCTTCCCACCAAAACATCTTTGCACATGATTTCTAAGCTCTGCTTTTCTTCAAGTTAGTAAATTTTACTCATCCAACAGGCTTCAGTTGAAATGGTACTTCCTCAGGGAGCATTACCTGAAACCTGTGACCAGATCATATTTCTCTGTTTATGTTTCTATTGCTTCTTATCACACAGTGATAAGTGTGTGTTTTTTGATTAAAGCTTATCTTACCATTGTGCTTTAAATTCAAGTGAACAGGGACAGTGTTCTTTATTGCTCACTACCATATCACCAATATCCTCAAGTGCCTGAATATAATAGGCATAACATCATATTTTGAGTAGCTAAAAGGAAAATAAATAAAGAAATAAACAACTTAGAAGAACCAAACAGAATGATTCTGACTTGATTAATAAATATTGCATGCCTGTATCAAAACATCAGATGTACCGTATACACATATACAACTATTATGTACTCATAATAATTAAAAATAAAAAAATTAAAAATATATAATGCAAAGGGAAAAATTATCAAAAAAAAAACATTGTAAGAATATTAATAAGTGAGGCTTTGTCATATAATTTTATCTTTGGAATGATATATTTTTTAGTATAAATGCAAATTATTATTCTTCTGCTTAACCAAAATAGGGAGCCATTGGATTATAGTGAAAAGATCTCCACACCACAAAAATTAGGAAATTGGGCATTGATCCTGATTCTTACCAATGGAATCATGTATATAGTTGCTCAAAACTCTTACAAACTAAAAAAAGAGGCTCTTCTGGAATATAATTTCTGTCTCAAGACCAGTTTCCCATTAATATGTAACAAATTACTTCAAATAATTAAATATATTTTCTTAGTTTCAATTCCACTAGAAGCCAACCTAGACATGATAATTTGATATGAAGAAAATTAATTGGCAGATGAAACCAGAGAATGCTTGGAGGAAAAATGAGAATATAAGACTGGGGAAATAGTAGAGTCAGCAAAAACTACATACTGCAGAATTATGCCTCCCATAGGTTGAGGGACCTAGGATATTATGCACCAATTTCCTTTAGCCTTTGTCTAAGGGTTACTCCTGTCCTGGACGTTAATTCCCAGCACTTTTGCCCTTTCCAGCATGTCGACACAATGCGATCTAATAACAAGGAAACTGAGCTGTCTGGAGGACAGCTGTACTGTACAACCCTGGTAAAGCTCAAAGGGGGAAGGGTTAGTTATCATACGTGTCTGTTTCAGCTTACTCCTTGCTCTGAACAGACCCACTCATGGCCTGTAAGAACATATTCTTATCACTCCCATACCACTAATTCAAAATGGAGCTTATCCTTGGTCAGCATTTCTATTCTTCTAAATTGATTGCACATTAAAGTAACTCAGATATTAATTTCCAAAGGGGCGACCCTTTGTTATCATGCTCTTTTCAAGCCATTGTTGCTGCAATCACCCATTATAATTATAACTAGGCATGGAAAAGGGAAACCAAAGTGAATGCTCTGATTTCTACATGTAGTCTTTCTTGTCCTCATTATATAACAGCAACCCTATCTTTTACAATAAAGGCAATTTTCCCTACCAGGATGGTATTACTTCCTTTGCCTCCTAATCTGTGAAACAGTGTATCCCTGCATAGAGGCATATGTATAGACTCATCATATAAGATCTCTATAAGGGCCCAGTTGCATACCAGAAGTTGTTATTTGCATGATGAATAGTTCTCTGCTGCAGAGAACATGGCTTTGGACCAGCAACCTAGGAACATTACATTCTCAGATTTTTCCTTGGTACTTGCCAGAAATGAGTTATGCTCGGTGCTCTCATTTTACCACAGATACTATTTGTTCTAAAACCTGAATCTGTGCAGAGTTCTCTCTTGTTCTGTATCCTAGTTTATGTTAGCTGTCTTCTGAGTCACTAAGTGTATTATTGATGTCCTCAAAATCCTCAGAGACCCACCAAGCACTGAGCATCTCTCTTACAAACAAGAGTTAAAAGGAGCAGTAATTTGTTCCTTACCTTGGATACAGTATGCTAGATCATCATGCATCTAAAATATTCCCTGATAGAATGGTCCCTGTATCTCTGTAGTGTTTATTTGGTACCCCATGGTGGTCAGGTTTCTTATTTGCTTGAGTTCTTTCCATTTTCTGCTTTCCATACATAATAAAAATGATGCCATCAATATAAGAGAACAATCTGAGGTTTGATGGAATATGAGATGATCAGGGTTTTTTTTTTTTGGACTGTATTATGACAAAAAGCAAGAATATAATTATAGCAATGATGAAAAATAATAAAGGTACATTGCTATCCATTCCAAAGAAATACAAAGTGTTCTGCTCTTCTTACTCCATAGTGATGAACACATTCAACAGATCAATAGCTGCCTGTATGTGCCAGAAGTTCTGTTGATTTCTTCTAGTACCAAATCCAGAGCCAGCATGTCAACTGTGGTTGGAGCTAACAGTTAGTTATGTTAAAACCAAGACTTCTGTCATTTGCTAAACCAGATGGCATATTACTGAATTAAATAGTAATGGGATGAGACCACCACACCTAATTTCTTTAAGTCTTTGAGAATAACATTAATTGCTGTCACTCGATTTGAGATATTGTATTACTTCTGATTTTCTATTTGGGCCAAAGAAGTGGGTGTCATTTCAAAGCCTTCTACTAGCTTTCCCTGCAGTAAAGACTTAGCTCTTACTCTACAGGAAGCCAATATGAGGATTCCTTATTATAAACCGGCGACTAGGGAAATGACCACTGATTGATGCTCAGGTCCATTAGACACTCTGTGAGGCAAACTTAGAGCAGGATCCATCTATGGCCTGACCTCTGTGCTCTTCCTCTCTAATGGAGTGCCATCATCCTATTGTTTTCTCTGGTAGTGCTGAGATTCCTCACTTATGTTAGATATCTTTCGGAAGATCTATGACAAGCATCATGATTTTCCACTATGGTGACTGACATGGGTCTTCTGCTCACCTGCTGTTTGTCACTTCTGATGTTTAATCAAACAATACCCTCACTGACTGCCCACCTCTCTCACCTCTGGTATCAGTGGTTTAATAGCCCTCACCAGGTATCCTTGCGTCTTAATGCCCTCTGCTGGCCGTTCCAAGCTTGCTACTCATTACTGCGATTGCATCCACCCTGCTGACAACGATTAGGTGCTGGTGTCTGGCCTCTGCCAATCCTGTTACCTCCATCGACTCTAGACTTTAAATTGCTAGGTCTGCCTGGAATGACCTCTTTTGAACTCCCACTTTTCCTCCCCCAAAACCCATCCTAAGCACCTATCATTCTACATCCATCTTAAATTCACCATTTTGTCATAAAGCTTTCTCAGATCACCCAACTGGAATTGATCTTTCCTGTGCTTTCCTCATTTTTAGTTTGTACTACGTTATCACTTCTCAGCATTTGCAGTAGAGATATTAATAGTTGTGTTTTTCACCATAATGCAGGATTCTTGAGTGCTAAAACCCTATCCAGTTTATCATTGTATCTCCTGAAGCACTTTTCCTAACATGCATCCCCTTTTTGGAATAAATGATGCCATATTAATAAAATTAATGCATAATTTAAGAAAATATGAAGTGCATAGTAAAAAAAAAATCTGAGTGCTTATATTTTTCAATGCTTAATATTTAGTTAGTTTAAAAGTACTAGAAATTGAGAAATAGGAACTATTTAGAGTTGTGATTCTCTATTATCTATGTAAGAAAGGTGCTACAGTATATTCTATAAAGGTGTCTTTATTGCATACGAGATTCTCATTCCTACAAAATTGCAGGTAAAAAAGAAGTTTATTCATTTTAATGGAGCAGTTGACATATATTACCCCAAAATCCCTCTGCAACTACTATATTACATTTTTCAGTGAATGATTTAAATAAAGTAGCATTAATGAAGTACTTGTAATGATCCATTTACATATATCTTGAAATGATTAGCAAAAGGAATAGGACAATGATGATTTATGTTAGCAATTCTGTGTTAGTTTATTTTATCTAAAGATCTCTAAGGCTTTACAAACATTAACATCTTCCTCTCATCCAGTGAGATAAGTATCATTATCCGAGTTTTCTAGTGAAGTGATGGAGGCACAAAAAGATTAAGTGATTTCCTCAAGGTTACTGTCAGTTGTGACAAAGAAAAGGATAGACGTTAGATTTATGAATCCCAGTTTTATGCTTCAACTATCCTTGGGCTCTGTATAGTTGTCACCCCAAATAGATTAAAAAAAAAAAATAGAGAATATAGTAAACAAAGACCACATAGGTAAAAACCAAACACTTGAATATTTGACATCAAATTGATTAAATAGGTAGATGTATTAAACACAAATCTGAAAACCTAATGATATTGAGAAGGATGTGGTCCATAGTTTATAATTAAATAAGGAAGGGAAGTACTGTGTTACCTTACCTGCCAATCGATTGGCATATAAGGGGCATATGACTGTGCTTTGAGGAAATTATAAAAAACATATATCAAGGAAAATAGCTACATTATTTGAAATTTAGTAACAAGGCCTATGACCATCTGTAGATCTAAAAAACACTTTTGATTGAAAAAACAAACAGAATTTATTGAGTGATTTTTTTTTTTTTTTGCTTTCTGTTTTAATAATCACTCCTGCCAGATTATAAAAGTTAAAATCACTTTTCTAAGTGACCTTCACATAAAGCAAGAATTCTATCACAAAAGCATAACAGAATTGATGATTTTATCCTGGGATGTCAAGTAAAAGAGTCATCTTTGTACAGAACATCTGAGTAATCGTAAGTCCACATGTATAATTATATATTTTTGTAACTAATGATTGTTTTTAAGAAATAAAATTTATTCCAGGCAGCTACTACAAAGTTCTGGAGATTTTGTTTGCTTAAGCACTATACTTCTGAATCTTTTGAAGATAATTGGGTATTGACAGAAAATGAGTTAAGTCATTTGAAATTTCTTCACTATGAGCCACGCTTCCATTTTTGCAAACACAGGATGTCCATAGGTCCCTTGATGTCTGCTGCTAAGGGTTCTTCTATGTCCCCAAATTTGCTGTCTTTCTGCTAATATATAAATATCCTTATCTGTTTATAGTCACATGTGAAAGGACAATGAAAGGGAGAAAGGTCATTTGCACCGTGGCCATGGACTATGCAATCTGGAAAACCCAGCAGGCTGCTGCTTGCCTTCAATCCTTTTGAACCATATTCTTCTACAGGCAACGTAACAATAAACTTCACATATTGAAGGTATATATCTTGATAAGTTTTGACGTATGTATACCCTTTGGAAACCATTACCACTGGTAAAATAATGAGACTGTCCGTCATTCCCCAATCGACCCTTTGTAAACCTTTCTTCCCACTCCTTACCCTCACCCCCATCCTCAAGCAACCACAGATATGCTTTCCATCATTATAGTCCAGTTGTCATTGTTTAGAATTTTGTATAAATGGCCACATTCAATGTGTACTCTTTGTCTTGACGATTTTACTCAACATATTTATTTTGCTATTCATGCATTCTGTAGTGTATATAAATAATTTATTTTGTTGCATAATAGTAGTCCATTGTATAGATAAAACACCATCTTTATAATTCATTCATCTGGTAATGGACATTTGTCTTATTTTCATTTTCTGACTGTTACAAATAAAGCAACCTTTGTGTACAAGTATTTGTATCTACATACAATTTCATTTCTCTTTGGTAAATATCCAGGAGTGGAAATACCACATCTTGTGGTAGGTGTATGTTTGACATTTTGAGAAACTACTAAAGTGTTTTCCAAAGTGACTGTACAATTTTACATTCCATAAAGTATGAATGAGAGTTCTAGTTTATCTACATCTCCACCACTTCTAGGTATAACAAATCTTTTTAATTTTAAAATTGTAAGTGTGTAATGTTATCTAATTATAGTTTTAGTTTGTACTCTCTGTACTCTCTTAATGACTAATGATGCCCATCATATTTTCATGTGCTTTTTTTCCATACATATGTCATCTTTGGTGACATATCTGGTCATAAATTTTCTCCATTTTTAATTTTTAAAAGCTAACATTCATAGTAGGCAAATCTGAAAGATATCACAACTGAAATCTGCTTAGAGAAAGGGAACCAGTCTTTAAAACATGATATGTTCATATTATAATAATCAGCTTACAATCATGAGAGCAACAGGTTGTTTGGTAATTCATTAGTTAGTTTGATATATTTTGATTAATGATTTAATGTTGTAGAGAAATATACTAAAATTTCTATACTGTTTGTTTCTTCAATGCAGTAACTAGCAGCTCTCTTTTAGTAACTAACAGAAGAACAAGTATAATTTTTAGATAGCACTAGCTTATTTTTATGTAATTAATAAAGTAATCAACTAATTAAAAAATTGGATCATATAATATTTACAAAGTATTTATTTAGTTATGATAAAATATAAAAGTAATTACACATTATATGGATGCCGACACAACTTACAAAAACCAAGTTACCAAAGTATTTATGTATCAAAAGTAGTTCAACTAACTTTTTCCGTAATGTTTATAAAATGTCATATTTGTGCCAAATATGACAATATTTGTGCCAAAAGTTCAGCATGCTATTTTTTGATAGACATTTTGTATGTATTTTTTATTTCTGGGATTGTATATGTCACAAATGTCAAGAGTTTTGTAAATGGTAGATGAATTTCTTTTTTTTTAACACATTTTAAATCTAGACTGTGTCTTTCTTATCACTTGATTTTTTTTTTCCTGCAAATTTCTACCAAATTAATAAAACTTAATCATTTTATATTTATTTACAGTGTATAAATCCTAACATTTTAATAGAAATAGCTATAGCACAGCAATTAAGATCTGTGTTTCAGACTGCTAGTGAATGATTTGTACCAATCTGAAAAAAGAAAAAAAATCACAACGCGGGAGCAAGCAAAAATGTTTCCCATATCAGATACCTAAACACATAATACACTGAATTCTATATATACAATACAATTTGAAGTTGTCATAGACATGTGAATAGTTACATGCAGACCAAACTTCCAAGTTTAATAAGCCAACTATGGTTTTAAAATTCAAGAATCTGAGTATGTATGTGTTTTTCTGTGTACACATGCTTATGATGGATATAAACAGACATATGGGGAAAATATTCTTATCCACTCTGCAACTCCTTTCTTCTTTTCTTTTTCTTAAGAGACGAAATGTAGTACATCTAAAATTTAAAAGTTCCAGCAAGTTTTTTTATGAATCGATAATTTCTCCCATTGAAATTTTTGACAAGTTTTCTTTTTTAAACACATTGTTCTTGCAGAAGGAGAGGACATCACTATTCAGTAATCTTCAGAAACTTCACAGGGAATGAAATCTGTAAAGTATAATCCCATCAATAACTAGTGTTGATTCTGATGATTTGACCAAGTAGAGATTTTTTTCATCCTTGAGTAAAGGAGGCATAGTTTGATGCCTCCTCTCCTTGATCTACCTACCGAACATCTGTTCAACCTCAAGGTCAGGTTCAGATTCTACATATTTTTATAAGCTTTCCATGATATCTTTAGAATATGCTCTTTCTTAATACATACTGCAGTATTATCTATTTGCCTCTCCAATTAACTATAAATTTCCTTACTTTAATATAGTATCATTTTCATATCATATCATTATCTCTCTGTGTATATATACATATATATGTGTGTGTATATATATGCATATATATGATTACTACTATGACATAATTATTCTAAGTTTACAGAAATGAAAAATAAAAATAAAGCCTTTTCCCTTAAGGAGATGGTAAGTTCAAAGTTTAGCAAAACAGACATAAAATAATCATTAAATAGCAATATATTCTTGCAGACATATATACAAGATAGTCTTTGTAATCATAACCTTAGGAAGTGACAACTAAATTGAGTGTTAAAGAACAATTAGGTATTAACAGGTAAAGGATGGGTGATGGGTGTAGTCCAGGCAGATGAGTCAGTATGAAAGACTTCAAGATGTGGAATAGTGGAGGGAGATTTAGAACTTGAATGCAAATTTTGAGATTGGGATCAGCAAGGTTGAGAATGGAGTGGAAGACAAATACCAGTTCATTGAAAATATCTTAGTCACAGTAACCATATATTTCCCTTTGACCAGATTTATGCCTGTTTTTACTGGCACAACTATAAATAGCATTCCCTTTCACTCATAAAGTCATCTTGATTTGGATAATAAATTCTAAAGTCACTGATTTTTTTTTTTTTCTGCAAGTAGTAATGGGACTTTGAAAGATGTTAAGAAAGATGTTGATAAAGTCAAATAACAACTTGTAAAGACTAATGTTTCTAAGGCTCTTCGTTGGAAAAGGACTTTCAAAGAAGTAACACTGAGACCAAGAAAAAAGGTAAGGAGAACCTGGACATAGTTTAAATGAAAAATGATAAGGACAAGAATGCAGGCAATGACAAGGGGACTAAAGAGACAAAAAAAAAAATTTTTTTCAAGAAGTATTTAAGAAGTAAAACAACCATTGACTGAAGATGGTGGAGAAAAAGAAGGAGGAAGCAACTAGACACTAACTAAATGCTAAGCGGAAGAATAAACAAGAGTAAGTGAACATATAGAAATGGAGAAAACTACAGGATGTATTCTCCAGTGATGGAATAGGGTAAAATGGATTATGCATGGAACTTGTGTGTGAGTTACTGCAAGATAATCCTAGTAGATACCTTTTGACACAAATACCAGATACTTTAATGTCAGCTCTATGGAGTGTCAGCCTAGAGAACAGAAGGGGCCTAGGATAATCAGGAACCTGTGTGCACAGTACACGTGGTGGGACTGTGGGGGCAGGCTGCCAGGTCTGCAATCCAGGTGTGAGCTGCCCAGTGAGTCAGATGTTAGAGCCAGTAAGTCAGAGCTGAAGTCTGGGAAACAATTCATTATTATTATTATTATTATTATTATTATTATTATTTTTAGACAGAGTCTCCCTTTGTTGCCCAGGCTAGAGTGAATGTCGTGGCATCAGCCTAGCTCACAGCAACCTCAAACTCCTGGGCTCAAGCAATCCTTCTGCCTCAGCCTCCCGAGTAGCTGGGACTAAAGGCATGCACCACCATGCCCAGATAATTTTATATATATACATTAGTTGGCCAATTAATTTCTTTCTATTTATAGTAGAGACGGCGTCTCCCTCTTGCTCAGGCTGGTTTTGAACTCCTGACCTCGAGCAATCTGCCAGCCTCGACCTCCCAGAGTGCTAGGATTACAGGCGTGAGCCACCGCGCCCGGCTAACAATTCATTATTAAAGCTAAAAGTTGAGAACAAGGTTAATGAGTTGAGGGTACAATAGGTAATTGGGTTGAAGCACAGGTAGGAGCAAAATCGATGACTGGCTATTCGGGTAGGGAACCAAGGCTTGCAAGGTAGTGTAGATATCCTTATTGGTGGTTCTCATCAACAACCTTTATATTTTATTAGTATTTTTCTCCTCCCATAAAAATTCTCTCTTTAAAATGTTGTATTCTATTTTGTTATAATCATACAATCAATAGGAAGCAAACTGGGTGCTAGAATTTATTATGACACTAGGATTTGGAAAATTAATAAATAACCACATGGAACTTAAAGTTGAGAACAATTTTCAAAGTAACATCTGTCAGGATTAAGCTAATATGTTTATTCTTAGATATCTCCTTGAAACTAGGAAGTTCCATCACTATTTCTTTACCGACTTATGCACTTAAAATTTTATTGCATATTTTATATCATAAATGCATGCTGACAAAACAGAGCCTACCCTAATCCTAAAGTACGCTATGTTAAAACAAAGAAAGCATAATGAAAAACCATCCCCTATACCACATTTCGTGTAGTGTGGAGATCATGTGTTTCAGAAATAACTATCTGTAGATCTATGGTTAGGGAAGATGACCCACAATTAATTGATATATGAAAGAGAAGTAAAGACAATAAATATGTATATAATCTGTAAAGAGTCAATACAATTAGTATTTGCAAAAGAGCAAATAAAGTTGCTTTATAAGTCTGAGTTTTTATAAGTAACATAATTAATATGTCATTAAAGTGCATAGTGGCTTCAATGGGAAATTATCTTGACATTCCATCTGTCCAGGCTGAATACAATCCATTTTATTGTCTCCCATAACTCACTTCTTATGGTTTTATGAAAGCGTATGTAGTAGTTTCACCTCTGGCTCTATCCTGTGTTAATATACATCACAAACTAATTTAAATAGTGATATTAATGATTTTAGAAATCACTACAAATGGTTGGCAGCATCGTTGTCGTTAACGTCTCAAGAGAGCCATACAAGCCAGTTTTATCAGCTTGAAGCCGAGGTATTTGATGAAGTAATAACAAACTAGCTCTGAATTGTCTTTCATTACCCTTTATCTCTCCTAGAGAGAATATAATCTTATTCAAATTATAATGGCCTCTGTTATCAATGAGCTTTACTATTTATTTACCTGCATCCAGACGTGTAAATGCACATGCATTCTGTTTTTTCAACCTACCTGTAATGAAATTTCTTCACTATCAGAATCATGCACAATCACAAATTACAAACTAGTTACTAATATAATTTGCTTAGCATAAAAAAAAAACCCTACTCAAGCTTTTAATATACTACCTTGATTAAAGGAGTAAAATCCAATCATTAGGGTTGAAATACAGTATATGCTAAACCTAAACAACTTTTAAAATAAGATTACTATTTCAATTAGGAGGTAGTTGTGAAGTTTTTTGTTGTTATTTTTTGTTTTGTTTTTTCCCCTAAGCAAAATACTAAGTTAAATTGTGCTGAGGCTAACTTAAGTTAAACACAGACTTGTTAATTACTATGGTACTTCTGCTCAAAGCAGACCACTTGATGTCTAGACGTCTACTTTTAGTTTTAGCTTAGTTATCTTTTTTATAACAGTTTCTTTATATTTATAATAAGCTGGGGAATTTCAAAAAGCTTCCATACTCCTTACCAATTTTATCTCCTTAACCAAAGTGTAAAGTAGGGTAAGCAAGTATAACTGTGAACAGTTTAGGAATGGAGAAACTACAATTTGGAGAAGTACTTTCATATTGTGTAAAGATAATCAAGACTAGTGTCTCTGTCCCTAAGGCAGTTTTCTTTCCTCTCTACCAGGTCTGCTTTTGACCTTGACTATAACTCTGTCTTCCTTGTCTCTTTTAACATATGTTAACTACCAATGCAAAAAATGATTCTGACTTTTTTGATGATTTTTAAGATAATCAAATGATGACATTAATGATGATTTGTAAGATAAACCATTTTTTTCCATTGATTCATTCATACATCAAATATTTATTGACTACTTGCTTTGTGTCAGGTACTGTTCTAGATATAGGGGATATGGCAGTAAATATATAAACAAGAATCACTATCAATATCCATCCATGGGTGGATGGGAATTGCCACGGATGGTTTTCAATATTAAATATTATTATTTTATATTGTAGCTATTATATTATTATTAAATATTATTTTACATTATTATGTTAATATTATGCTGTGTTAGGCCTCTGTGAAATAGTAATAGATTAGAATGAGATGAGGCAGTAAGCCACATTATAGAAAAAAATCAAGCATTTGTACTGATAAATTTTAATGGCTTATCATTTTCCATTTTGCAAAATATTCTTGACATGTCATCAGATTTGATCCTCCTAATAACCCTATGAGGTAGGCACATAATTGTGACCCATCTTATAGATACGAAAACACATTGGAAGAAGCTGAGTTACAAACAGCACCTGTATTAATTTCTCCCTACCAGGCCATAACTTAACTCCTTTAATTGAATATTCTTCAGGCCAATGCACTAGTTTCATTTGATATTTGTTCAAATTAATGATACTTCCTAAAATTAAGATATTAATATTATACTTGTCAATGACATCCACAAAGGTAGGATCATGTCTGTTTTATTCACTAATGATTTTATTTCATTAAGCTCCTAATGGCTAACTACACTGGCCTTCTTTCAGTTTCTCAAATAAATCCCTTTATTCTACTCTCCTGTGCTTTCTCTAACTGGTAAATACTTGAATACTTACCTGAATAATCTCTTTTTTCATCTTTTGATTCTCACATCAGACTTTTCTTTGCAGTTGTTTACTCAGGTTCTCATATGGTAGATATCTTATCATTTGAGTCTCAATTCTGTTATTGCACTTAGGTTATTTATTGTCTACCTTCTTCTAACTAGAATATGAGCTTCCTGAAAGCAGAGAAACTGGCATTATAATCACAGTAGTGTTTTCAACTCTCAGAACTATCCAAAACCCATTCTAAGCACCTTGTGTTAGTTGATCTA